ATGATGGTCTATTCCATTTCTTAATACTCGCTTCCATTGTTTGCAGGGCGAAAAAAACCACGGTTTTGAGGTTCTCTATCACAGCGTGAAGCAGGGGCCCATCTCCACCAAAGAGCTGGCAGACTTCATTCGGGAAAGGTGAGACTTCACACCTCATTAACTCCGTGGCCACGTCCAGTCCAGGTCCACCAGCCACACTCACACTAAGCCCCATCCACAAAGCATCCTGTGGGCCACGCCCACTTGTGGCCCCACCCACAAACCAGTGCCTCCAATCCCATCCTAGTTCCATCCAGGAAGCCACCTTGGCCGTGATCTCTCCTCCCCGTCCATCCAGTTGCTGGACGCACATCACCCTTGCCCAGTCTCATCCCACGGGCACACCATGACACAGCCTGCATTGTCCTCTTTATAATCCTCGGACTCCAAAAACCGCGAGGACTCAGAGGCCCTCCAAACCAGTATTTCTCAGTGCTGTCAGATCCTGCATCTATCCTGGTCTTTTTGTAACTCACCCCCCATCCCCCAAGTTTCTAACCTCTCCAGGTGAAGGGAAAGTCATAGATAGTATAATCTATCTACCTGGGAATTAGTTCTAGAATTTTCAAGTCAGTTATTAAAGAAGTGGATGGCCAATCCTTCGTAATCCAGAAGCTCTGCTGAAACCTGCCCACCATGGGTGACCCACTGGTATTGAAATACTGGTTATACAACTTCCAGTATCACAGCAGCCAGCAACTTACTCCAGGGCAGCAACTGACAGACAAGTGCTGCACTCTTTAGAGCAAACTATTAATCAGCCAGCATAGGAAATAGCCTCTGATTACTAATAGTTCCTCAGAGGCATAAATGGCCAGTTAACCTCCTTGTCTGCCAACCAGGAGGTTGTTATTGTTATGTGCTGTCAAGTCACCTGCAGTTTAAGCCTGTTGTTGTTGTTGTGTACTGTCAAGTTGGAAGCGACATATAGCTGACCCTCTGGCAGGTTTTCAGAGGCAGTTAATCTAATGAGAAGAGATTGCCCATCCTTCTCCCACGGAGCAACTGGTGGATTCAAACCATGTGCCTTTGGGATTGCAGGACAGCCTCTTCTCACTAGGCCACCAGAGCTCCCTGTGTTTAGAGGTTAGAAATTTTCATTCACCCAGAGGCACCTAAGGAAAGACCAAGTTATCTGTTTCTGAAACCTCAGCTGCTTAAAATCCAACAGAGCATTTCGACTCTGAGCTCTCTGAGAGTCCGAATTAACTTGTTGGTTTGTTCTTGTAACCAAAGATGTCCCCGGGGGTGCAAGTGCTTAATGTGCTCAACTGCTCACTAAAGATTAGAGGTTTATGTCCACCCAGGGGTAGTATGAAGAAAAAGAACCCAAATCAAACGCTGTAAGCCTTACAAAGCACAGTTGTACACACATGAGGTTGTTGAGTCAGAGATGGACATGTGAACTTCTCTCCTTTCGTTATGTAATACAAATCATATAAACTATCCCACATATAATATGTGCTAAAAAAAAGAAGGATTGCTGCTATTACCACTACTATTAATAATAAAATGTACTAGTGGGTGTTTTTAGGTGCCATTGAGTCTGAGTATGACCATGTGAACAACAGATCTGAACCTTGTCCTATCCTGTGCCAGCCTCACACGTCCTGACACACTCGAGCACATGGTTGCAGCAACTGTGTCAATCCACCTGGTGGAGGGTCTTCCTCTCTTTGATGACCCTCCACCTTTCCGAGCACACTGTATCCCTCTCCCAGGAATAGCCTCTCTTATCAACATGCCCAACGTGTGTGAGATGAAGTTTTGCCCTAAAAATATATGTACTAGGGAGCTCTGGTGGTCTAGTGGTAAGAAGCTGTGCTGCAATCCCGAAAGCATGGTGTTCAAATCCACTAGCTGCTCTGTGGGAGAAGGACGTGCACTCTCTTCCCATATAATTAACTGCCTCTGAAAACCTGCTAGAGGGTCAGTTACAGGTGGGTTCCGACTTGACAGTACACAAGACACAACAAAAATGTATGTACTAGTGGGTTGAGGGGGAAATGACACTTCTATGAGTTTTTGAAATGTTCCCTCCACAAGAAACTGCACTGCTCCTGGTCAGCTGTTTCCCCTTCTCATGTCTGAGCTGGGGGAAATGAGTGTGGGGGCTAGGGTCTTTCCCATGAATGCCCAGAGCCCCCTCCTTCCCTTTCCTCCCATCCAGGGCTACCATCGAAGAGACTTACTCGAAAGCAATGGCGAAACTCTCCAAGCTGGCCAGCAATGGGACCCCTGTGGGGTGAGTAGGTTGCAGGTGGGACGAGGGTTGTCAAGGTGACGGTGGACTGGGTACATTGGACACCTTCTGAGATATAGACATCTTCATGCTGTAAACACATCAGACAAAGGTGTTGTCCTCCATGGGCAAATGGGGTTACTGAAAAGAGGAACATGGGACATGCATCCAATCACCTGATCACCATTCCTTCATTCCAATCTGTGGGGAAGTACACTGAGCTACCCTAGTGGTTAGAATTCACCAGCTCCGCTAACCAAAAGGCCTCATGTTTCCAGCAGTTCAAACCCACCAGTGGCTGTAAGAAAGATAGTCCGTCTTCTCTCATTAAGATTTATAGGCTCTGAACCCCAGGGGTTGCTGTGAGTCACAATCAACTAAATAGCATTGAGTTTGAATTTGGTTGGGTCAAAAAGGAGCCCTGGTGGCATAGGACATCAGGTGTTGCACTGTTATCCTAAGTTCAGCAGTTCAAATCCACCAACTATTCTTTGAAAGATGGGCCACCTTCTCCCATAAAAATTTACAGTTCCAGAAACCCGGGTCACCAGGAGTCACAATTGACTCAACAACAGTAGATTTTTATGTTGGAAGTCCCTGGGTAGCACACATATTTAAGCACTTAACTTCTAACTAAAAGGTTGGTAGTGTGAACTCACTCTGTCTTAGGTACCTCAGAAGAAATGCCTGGCTGTTTCCAGCCTTGAAAACTCATTGCAACAGTTTCTTCCTCTGCAGCCACGTAGGGTCACTGGGAGCTGGACCAACTCCATGGCAGTCAGCTTAGTGTGTGCCATTCTAGGCACTGGCATTTTAGTAGCAGCCAAGACAGAGAAGCCCCCTCCCCTTTTTTTTTTATGTTAAACACCACCAAAGCCGTCTCTCGGGGTGAAAAGTGGCAGGAAATATGGTAGTGTGACAGAGCCCACTCTAGTGAGGTCAGAGCTAAATCATGAGGAGTCAGCTGGGAGGGAGTGTCTGAGAGGACCCGAGTGTATGGTCTGTGGCAGAGCCAGTGCAAAGGCCCTGGGGCAGCAAAGAGTTTGGCTTGTTCCAAAAAGAGCAAGGAGGGGCCTGGAAGACCAGCGCATTTTGTGGTTGCTTGAGGGCAATTTTACTGACATGTGGAAATCGGCTGACTTAGTGTTGAGGAAGGATTTGAACTTTGTGGGCAGATTTGAGTCTACCTTGGATTTAAAGGAGGGTTTAGGGTGATTTATGGGGTCCCACTCCCCGTGCCTCAGTTTCTATTTCTGTCAAAGGCTGACCTCCTACCACGGTGGCAGAAACAAATGTCTTTATAGGAGGCCTTATAGTGTGGCAGGGCCTGGCGTACAGGAGGTGCTTGTGTAGAAACCGAAAGGGGCAGAGGGCAGTTCCCTGAGGCCTGGGTGTGACCCTCCTCCTTCTAGGACCTTCGCCCCGCTCTGGGAAGTCTTTCGTGTCTCCTCGGACAAGCTGGCACTCTGCCACCTGGAACTGACACGGAAGCTGCAGGACCTCATCAAGGACGTGCTGCGCTATGGCGAGGAGCAGCTCAAGACACAGAAGAAGGTGTGTGAGGGCGACCACTGGGCGGGGCCTAAAATGTGGGTGTGGCCTCCTGTGGGTGGGCGGGGCCTCCGGGAGGCGGGTGTGGCCTCCAGTGGGTGGGCTTGGGTCACCAGCTGCTCTAGAGTCCTGTGTCTTTGAACTTCCAGGCCCTGGTAGGTGAGTCGGAAAATTCTGTGTCAGTTCCAGAATCTTATACAGACATGTCATTGTGGAATTTCAGAACTTTACATTCTAAACCAGAACTTCCACAAACTACAGTCCCAGAGTCAGATCTGGCTTGCCTTCTTTTCTGCAAAAGCTAAGAGTAGACTTTATATTTTTAAGTGGTCGGGGCGAAAAAAAAAATCAAAAGAAGAATACTTTTCTCACAAAAAAAAAAAAAAGAAGAATACTTTTGAGAGAACTGAAAATTATGCAACATTTAAATTTCAGTGCCTGTAAATAAAACTGGATTTAAAAAATTTATATTGGTTTGCATACAAAATTAGCACACATCGTGTTTCACAATGAAGGACATTTCATTCACGTGGTGTTTCATATAATCATTCCCATCTATTGTGGTTTGTAAACTTAATCATCATTGAATTATGCCCACCATTACTCTGTCTTTTCAGGTCCCCACAAGATTTTTCCCCATTTCCTTTACTGCCCTCCCTCCACCCACCAAATTGTACAATCCTATGATTTCCCCCCACCCATCCTCACCCCTCTGCTCCCACCTCTCCCCCCCTTGGATCCCCACATGCGTTTTACTAGTTATCCTTCTAGTTTTACAATAATGGTCTTATGCAATATTTGCCCTTATGACATTGAGTTAGTTCACTCAGTATAATGTTCTCCAGTCTCTCCCAAGTTATGTAGTAATTTTTGAAATTGTTACTCCTCCATGCTGTATGTGTGTGTGTGTGTGTGTGTGTGTGTGTATACCCCATCATGTGAATGTACCACAATTTCTCAATCCATTTGATTGTAGTTGGATATTTGGGCTGGTTCCATGTTCTTATGAATAACGGTGCTATGAGCATTGGTGTACAAATGTCCATTTGCATCTCAGTTCTAGTTTCCACGAGGTATATTCCTCGTAGCAGAATAGCTGAGTCATATGGAATTTCTATGTTCAGCGTTTTGAAGAAATGCCAAACTGCCTTCCAGAATAGTTGTACCATTTTACAATCCCACTGACAGTGTATGAGAATTCCTATCTCTCTGCATGCCTCTCCAATATCTGGAGGACAATCACCTGGCCAACTGGCTGCATGAGGTCTATATTTGTTCCTATCCCAAAGAAAGATGACCCGACAGAGAGCGGAAATTATTAAAAAATATCATTAATATCACATGCAAGCAAGATTCTGCTGATAATTATCCAAACCGACTGAAACAGCACATCAACAGAGAATTGCCAGATGTACAGTCTGGGTCTAGAAGAGGCTGTAGTACTAGGGATATTATAGGTGATGTTGGATGGATCTTGGCTGAAAGCAGAGAATACCAGAAAAATGTCTCTTTGTGTTTCATTGACTACGTGAAGCCGTTTGTATGAATCACAGCAAACAGTGGCTAACTCTAAGAATGGGAATCCCTGAACTTTTGATGTGTTTATGTGAAACCTTTACTTGAACCAGGAGGCAGTGGTCAGAACAGAGCAAGTAAACACCGCATGGTTCAAAATTGGGAAGGGTGTATGCTAGGGATCTGTCCTAGCTCCACAATTTTTCAATCTATATGCAGAACAGATTATCCAGGAGGTTGTGCTCTATGAGGAGGAGTGTGGCATCAGGTTTGGAGGAAACTCATCAACAACCTGCATTATGCAGATAACACAACCCTACTTGCTGAAATTGAGGAGGACCTGGAGCGCTTGCTGCAGTTCAAGGACTGCAGCCTTAAACATGGCTTGAAGATTGACATCAAGAAAACAAAGACTCTCACCACAGGGCCGATTGACAGCATTATGATAGATAGTGAAGAGACTGAGATTGTTAACAGCACAACCAGCAGTCTTGGTACCAGCAGGCAGGAAACCAAAAGACAAATTGCATTGGGCAAGTCTGCTGTCAGGGATCTCTCCAGAGTACTGAAGAGCAGTGATGTCAGTTTGAAGACTAAGGTGTACCTGATCCAGGCCATAGTCTTCGCAATTACTTGGTATGAGTCAGAAAGCTGGACAATGACTAGGGATGGTAGAAACAGAATCGATGCCTTTGAACTGTGGTGCTGGAAAAGAGTACTGAATATGCCGTGCACTGCCAGGAGAACAAACAGGTTCGACCTGAAGAGGGTGAAATCAGGCTGTTCCTTGGACACAAGGATTCTGAAGCTCTGTCTGACATACTTTGGGCATGTTACAAAGATGGACCAGTCCTTGGAGAGGGACATCATGCTTGGAAGGATGGAGGGACAGCACGCAAGAGAGGAAGACCTTCGATGAGATTAATTGAGTCAGTGACTGGGGTAATAAGGGTAGGTGTGTCAGAGACAATAAGGGTGGCTCAAGATAGTGCAAGTTTCAGGGCAATTGTACATAGGGTCGCTATGAGTTGCAAGCGACTCGACGACACGTAACAACAACAGGCAAATATAAAATCATTTCAGGTGTCTATTAAGCTGAAAAAATGAGTAAAACAGCATGGACTTTTGCCATCTGTGATTTTTAATATATTAAAAGAGAGATAAAAGATCTTGTAAATAAACTAGTATAATTTTAACATTATTATTTTTTTAAAAAAAGAGAGAGAGAAAAGAATAAATACGTTTGCTTGTCCTAGTGCTGGCCAAGGGACTTGGCCAGGAGGGGTGTCTCCCAGGCAGAGGAGTGAAGGGTTGGGGTTGGGAATGGGTGTGATTATGAAACTGGCTTTGCTGCCTAGTTTACGCATGTGCTAAAGGGCCTTGGGTGCTTCACAGAGCCATCAGGGCCTCAGTTTCTCCATCTGTCACGACTTTACCTCGTACCATTGTGACGGAGTTCCAGAGTCAATATCAGGGAGGGGGGGCATAGGAGAGGTCAGAATGGGGCAGGCATTTTTTTGAGCTCACTCTTGAGCACATTAAGAAATTGGAAACGTGTGATGATAGTAGCTCTGAAGCTCTGGTGGCCTAGTGGCAAGAAGCTGTACTGCAGTCCCAGAGGCGTGTGGTTCAAATCTACCAGATGCTCTGCTGGAGAAGGAGGGGCAATCTCCTCCAGTACCTGTCAGATCCAATTTGACGGTACACACACACAAAAATAAAAAATAAAAAAAAAAAATTAAAAAAAAGTTAAAATTTATAAAAAAGAATGAAACAGAAAATTACTTTGTGGACCTAGATTCACAGAGTGGGTATTTGGGTAGCTGGGGGTTTCACAGTTGTTGCCTCAGGGCGCTCAGACACCCTCTCCCTGTCCCCGCAGTGCAAAGAGGAGGTGGTGGGCACTCTGGACGCGGTGCAGGTGCTCGCAGGGGTCAACCAGCTGCTGCCCAAGTCTCGTGACAATTACCTGAACCGCTGCATGGACCAGGAGCGCCTGCGCAGAGAGAGCACCAGCCAGAAGGAGATGGACAAGGTGGGATGTGGGTGCAAGGTCACCAGCGAGCGCTGTCCATCAAGGGTCCGGGGAGGGGGGTGGAGAGCTGGGAGCTGCCAGGTGAGAGATAAAAACATTACCACAAAATGATGGCCATTGGACCTGTGTGTGATCCTCACACCCTAAAGTGCCCCAGGTGCCCACTTGCCAGGTGGCAGGTGTGAATGCCCCCTCCCGGCCCCAACACCCACTCCTGCTTCTTAGGCCGAATCTAAGACCAAGAAGGCAGCTGAGAGCCTGCGACGCTCCGTGGAAAAGTACAACTCGGCCCGGGCGGACTTCGAGCAGAAGATGCTGGACTCTGCTCTGGTAAGAACTGGATGTCGCAGCTGTAAAGAGAGTCTGTTTTCCTTAACCCGGAATGTGGCATTCCTCTGGATTCCAGAACCTCTAAAACCCTCAGCTCCCTGGATTCTTAGGATCATAGGCTTAAAGCCACAGATTCTAGAAGCAGTTAGCCATTGTGGTCACTATTCTATCCAAAGCCAAATAACTTTGTGCCTCAGTTTTCCCACTTGTAAATCAGAATCAGAAAATAGTACCAACTTCAGAAGGTTGTTAAGATGAGTCACTATTTGTGTGACATCCTGAAGCACTGGTTGGTGTGGATGGTTAATGTTCTAGGCTACTTACTAATTGAAAGTCTGAAGGTTCTAGCCCACCCAGCACCACCTTAGAAGAAAGGCTTGGTAATCTCTTTTCAAAATATCACACATTAGAGCTCTGGAGGCCTAGTGGCAAGAAGCTGCACTGCAATCCTGAAGGCACATTGTTCGAGGCCACCAGCTGCTCACGGGAGAAGGATGGGCAATCTCCTCCTGTGCAATTTAACTGCCTCTGAAAACCCACTGAAGGGTCAGCTATGGGTTGGTTCAGACTCAAGGATACACAACATGATATCACACATTGAAAATTCATGGAGACTGTTCTATCCTGACACACATATGGTCATTGTGAGTTGGAACTGACTTGACCAAAGCAGTTGATTTTTTAAATGTAACTTTCTCAGACCAGTATCAAGTGCATACAAACTATTCCTCAAATCCTAGCTACTAATATTATTTCTATTGATACTGATGAGGGCTTTGAACAGGAGAGAGCCGGCTTTAGAAATGAAGTCTTCCTGCTTTTCATGGTGATTGGAAAGCCTGAATTCTGGTTCAGCACCTATCTCTCATCCACTGTTTAAATGTGTACAAAAATTCCCATTCTTTGGGTTTCTGTCTACTCAAATGTAGAATAAATTCTTTAGAATCTAGAGAGTAGTATTCAAACTTTTGTTCAAGTCACAAGTCATGGAAATATTCAAACTGATAAGGAAATGTATAATCTCAGGAAACTAAAAATTTAGGATGAAGTTTAGGCACAGCTAGATCCAGGGGTTCAAACAGTGTTGGCAGGAACCTCTGCCTCTTGGCTTCATGGGCATGTATCTTTTCACAGGGACTCTACTTCCAAGCAGACATGCTCTTTTCTGGAGTAAATGTGGGAATCTGTGTATATAGCCACATTAAACAAAATGGCCATCATCCCCTTTCCTCCAGCTTAAAGTCCATCAACTCATTGACTCAGGGAATGGAAGTGCCTCTTTCCATAGCTGCAGCAAAAATTCCAGGACACCACCAGATGCTCCGCTGGAGAAGGAGGGGCAATCTTCTCCTGTGCCAGTCAGATCAGATTAGATGGTACACAACAAGTTGTTGTTGTTATGTGCCGTTGAGTCGTTTGCGACTCATAGCGACACTATGTACAACAGGCCTAAACCCAGCCCTATCCTGCCAATTGCATGTCCTCTGACACACCCATCCTGATTACCCCAGTCACTGAATCAATCCACCTCATAGAGGGTCTTCCCCTCCTGTGCTGTCCCTCCACCTTACCGAGCATGATGTCCCTCTCCAAGGACCTGTCTCTCCTTACAACATGTCCAAAGTATGTCAGACGAAGCCCCAGAATCCTAGCCTCCAAGGAGTAACCTGGTTCAACCCTCTCCAGGATGAATCTGTTTGTTTTCTTGGCAGTCCAGGGTACATTCAATACTTTTCTCCAGCACCACAGCTTAAAGGCATCAATTCTCCTTCTATCTTTCCTAGTCATTGTCCAACTCTCTGATGCATAACAAGCGATTGCAAAAACCATGGCCTGTATCAGGCGCACCTTAGTCTCCAGAGAGACACCGTTGCTCTTGAGTACTTTAGAGAGGTCCCTAACAGCAGACTTTCCCATCACAATGCGTTTTTTTATTTCCTGGCTGCTGGTGCCAAGAGTGTTGACCGTGGAGCCAAGCAAACTGAAGCTGTGAACAATCTCAATCTCTTCACCATCCATCCTGATGCTACCAATTGGTCTAGTGGTGAGAATCTTTGTCTTCTTGACATTGAGCCTCAGTCCATACTGAAGGCTGCAGTCCTTGACCCTCTGCAGCAAGTGCATGAGGTCCTTCTCAGTTTCGGCAAGCAGGGTTGTGTCATCTGCATAACGCAGATTGTTAATAGATCTTCCACCAATCCTGACGCCACACTTCTCCTCATAGAGCCTGGCCTCTCGAATAATCTGCTTTGCATACAGGTTGAAAAGGTATGGAGGTAGGACACATCCTTGGCATACACCCTTCCCAATTTTGAACCATGTGGTGTGTGGTGTTACCTTGCTCTGTTCTAATGACTGCCTCTTGGTCCAAGTATAGGTTTCACATTAGCACGATTAAATGTTCTGGGGTTCCCATTCTTCTCAGAGTCAGCCAAAGTTTGTTATGATCCATACAGTCAAACGCCTTTGCATAATCAATGAAACACAGATAGACATTCTTCTGGTATTCCCTGCTTTCAGCTAAGATCCATCTAACATCAGCTACAATATCCCTAGTACCACGAGCCTTTCTTGGGGTGGGGGGGGGGGGGGGAATTCCAGGACAGAATCTTATTGGCTCATCCCCAAGCCAATCACTTAAGCCAAGGGGGTGTAGTGTTCTGATTGGTCAGGCTGAGCCATATGGAGGGCTTCCTAATCTTGCTGTATTCTCCTCTCTTCCTGCCATAGCGCTTCCAAGCCATGGAGGAGGCCCATCTGAGACATATGAAGGCGCTGCTGGGCTCTTTTGCCCACTCGGTAGAGGACACACATGTACAGATTGGGCAGGTGAGTTGGGTGAAGGATGAAGTTGGGGTGCTGGGTAAGGGGATCCTGCCTGACCACACATTCCATCTACCTGGCCCAGGTCCATGAGGAGTTTAAGCAGAACATAGAGAATGTCAGTGTGGAGATGCTGCTCAGGAAGTTTGCAGAGAGCAAAGGCACAGGCCGGGAGAAGCCAGGTGAGTCTGGTGTCCCAAGAGGCAGGAGACTGAACTTAGCCAGGCTTCAACTTCCCCGTCAGAAAATTGGGTTTGTGGCACCTTCAACTCAACAGCCTAACTGAGAAGAGGATTTGATATGTGGTCTTGTGTAAATTTTCTCAAACCGGAGCCCAGGTGTGTGTGTGGGGGGCTTGATTCCCAGGCTTAGTTCATCAGACCCCAAAAGTCCAAGGGAGCCATTTAAGGTTGTTGAGCAAAAGGCTAATTTGAGGAAAATGGATAGAGGATTGAAGAAGAGTTGCTAAGAACAGAAGTTTTGAAATCAGACTGAAGTTCAAGCTTTTTCTTCACGACTCACTGGGTGACTTTGGATGGGAATATCTGTTTCCTTCCTTGCAATGTGGGAGGAAATAATAGTCCTTTCCTCAGGAAGATGGAAGGAATACACAGTCACTGTATCCAAAATAATTTGTTGACACTGAAAAATTTAAGGAAGTACCATATGAACATATGGAAAATAGGGGAGCTCTGGTGGCCTAGTGGCAAGAAGCTGTGCTGCAATCCCGAAGGTATATGGTTTAAGGCCACCAACTGTGTCAAGGGAGAAGAATGGGCATTCTCTTCCTGTGCAATTAACTGCTTCCAAAAACCCACTGGAGGGTCAGCTCTGGGTCAGGTCCAACTCTATGGTACAACAATAACAACCGTATGAACATGAACCAATGGTAACAAAGGAAGACGTTCAAGCGGCACTGAAGGCATCGGCAAAAAAGTAAAGTTCCAGGAACCGGTGCAATACCAACTGACATGTTTCAAGAACAGAAGACATGTTTCAAAAAATGTTCACCAGTTTTTGCCAGGAAATTTGGAGGACAGCTGACTGACTAGAAGAGATCCATATTTATTCCCCTTCCCAAGAAAGGTGATCCAACAGAAAGTGGAAATAATCTTAACAGTATCATTAATATCACATGCAATCACATTGCTGAAGTTCATCCAAAACCTACCAGAACAGTACATTGACAGAGAACCACCAGAAGCTCAAGCTGGATTTAGAAAAGGACATGATTTCAGGGATAGATATTATTGCTGAAAGCAGACAATATCAGAAAAATGTCGGGGTGTGTTTTATTGACTATGTAAAGGCATTTGACTGTATTATTTTTTTTAAATTTTTTTAAAATTTTTGTGTGCGTGTACCATCAAATCAGATCTGACTGGTACAGGAGGAGATTGTCCCTCCTTCCCCGGCAGAGCATCTGGTGGATTCGAACCGTGCACCTCTGGGATTGTAGTTGCAACTCCTTGCCACTAGGCCACCAGAGCTCCCCGACTGTGTGTATTATAACAAGTTATTACTGACATTGGGAAAAATGGGGATCCCGGAGCTCTTAATTATGCTCATGTGAAACCTAGACCTAGACCAAGAAGCAGTTGTCTGAACAGAGCAAGGGAAAACTGCATGGTTTAAAATCAGAAACGGTATGCACAAAGGTTGTATCCTTTCTCTGTACCTATTCAGTCTGTACACTGAGTAAATCATTTGAGAAGCTCAACTCTATGAAGAAGAATGTGGGATCAGAGGAAGACTCGACAATCTGTGTTATATAGACGACACAGCCATACTTGCTGAAAGTGAGGAGGACTTGAAACTTTTGCTATTGAAGCTCAAAGACTACAGCCTTCAATATGGATCGCATCTCAACATTAAGAAGACAAAAATTCTTACCATTGGACCAGTAAGCAACATCATGATGTTGTTGTTAAGGGCCGTGGAATTGTAAACGAGACTCAAAGCAACCCTATGAACGAAAGACCTGAACACTTGTATAACTTTCATCAGTTCTTCAAGTTCATAGGGTTTCCAGAGGCAAGCTATTTCGGAAGTGGATGCCACTCCTGCTTCCAAGCTTGTTTTAATTGGGAGCTCCACCAAACACTGTCCACCATGGGTCACCATTACTGCATTTGACACACCAGTGTCGCAATGTTTAGCATCACAGTAACCACGAGTTACCTCTGTACAGCAATGCACAGACCAGTGCTATACCACTTAGAAGAATGTTTGACCAAACACAATTAAAATCTGGCTTGAGGGCTGCAGATTAAAATTACCTACCTTTGGCTTGGTAACATAACTTTCTATCCACTAGGCCAACAGAGCTCTCTCTATGTTGTTGTTAAGTGGAGAAATGATTTAAGTTATACAAGTGTTCAGACCTTTCATTCATAGGGTCGCTGTGAGTTGTGTACGACTCATTGGCACTTAACGGCAACAACAACATCATGATAGAAGGAGAAAAGATTGAAGCTGTCAATTATTTCATCTTACTTGATTCCACAGTCAATACCGTTGGTACCAGCAGGCAGGAGATCAGGAGACGTGTTGCACTGGCAAAGTCCGCAGTCAGGGACCTCTCCAAAGTACTGAAGGGCAGTGACATCAGTTTGAAGACTAAGATGTGTCTTAGTCTAGCGCCATGACTCAGGCCATGATCTTTTCAGTCACTTGCTATGCTGCTGATACTTGGACAGTGAATAAGGATGACAGAAGAGGAACTGATGCCCGTGAGCTGTAGTGTTAGAGTACTGAATATCCCATGGACTGTCAGAAGAAACATGTATGTCTTGGAGAGAGTACAGCCAGAATGTTCCTTGGAGGCAAAGATGGCAAAGCTTTGCCTCACATATTTTGGGAATGTTGCTACAAGAGGATATTCCTTCCACCACCCAAGTTCCAGCCAGAGATGGTGGGAATACCTGGAAGTCACACTGATCTCAACAAGAACCTGCTCTGGGGCTTTTACTGGGGCTCTGGTGGCCTAGAGGTAAGAAGCTACATTGCAATCCCAAAGGCACAAGGGTTTGAATCCACCATCAGCTCTGCTGAAGAAAAATGGGCCATCTCCTCCTGTGTGATTAACTGCCTCTGAAAACCTGCCAGAGAGTTCAGCTATGAGTCGATTCTAACTCAGTTGTACACAAAACACATAGGGGGAAAAAAGACACTTTCACTCCCTGAATCAGCGTGTTGGCATGATGTCACTCGGGTGTCGCTCCCTCCAGCCTCTCCAGCTGGAACTGGAACCAGCCCCTTAACCCTTCCCACTCATGAGGAACATCCCAAGTTGGTTCAACATCCTGGCTCTTGGCTTTGAACTCAGCTGACCTTGAACTCGGGTCCACCTGGCCGTGGGCGTATTGCTACCCTTCCCAGACATAAGTCTCTCTTGTGTTTCCCAATCTCCCCTGCCGCAGGGCCCTTGGACTTCGAGGCGTACAGCGCAGCTGCCCTGCAGGAAGGCAAGTACGTCTGGGCTCGGGTGCCCAGGCTACACAGACTGTGTGGGTGAGGGCCAAGGGTCTGCAGCGGGCCAAGAGGTACCCCCAGGGCTCAGCCGCCCCCCTTCATCTGATTCACAGCAATGAAACGTCTGCGAGGAGCCAAGGCCTTCCGCCTTCCAGGACTGAGCCGGAGGGAGCGGGAGCCTCCAGCAGCCATGTGAGGAAGTATTCCAGCTCAGCCTGGGTCCAGGGCAGCTCGAGTTCCCCTCTTCTGCCCGGCTTGTCCCAGATAACCACTGCCCCAGGCTAGCTGAAATCACCTCTGCCCAGGCTACTCTGGAATTCTTCCTGTAACCCAGGCCAGGCCAGAAGCCACCTGCCCCAGGCTGACCCAGCACCAGCTCGCACTGCTAGTGCTCCATCAATGGTTATGCCTTGGGCCTGGCAGCCCCAGAGGCTACCTGCCCAAACTACTACCAGATATTCCCCTATGCTGTAAATTCCCCAGCCTAGCCGAGATGGCCCAGAATTACCCATGAGCAGCCTAGGTGTCTGTTCTTGGCCAAGGCTAGCCTGCATAGTCTGTGACCTCCAGGATGCTCCCTGCCAGAGTGATCCAGAACCATCCACCCCTGTGAGCCCCTGAGTCCCACCTCCTCCAGGGACTAGTTTAGGACAGTACTGCAGCCAGGGGCCTCTCCCCTCTGCCCCACGCCATGTCCAGGGTTGTGGAGGGTGGGGATGAGGTGGGCCAGGCTGACACCCACATCTCCTTCTCCATCCCCAGAGACTCCGGGGAGCCTGATTCAGGGGTGAGTGCCATGGAAGGGGCATGCTTGGGATGTGAGTCGAGGCATCTGATCTCACCCTAGGGCCCCACCCTCAGCCCTGGAGCTGAGATTGGAAGGACGAGGGTGAGGGGCTAGAGATGGCACACCTTAGGGGCTGGGTTCAAATCCTGCCTCAGTTGCAGGCACCCATTGATCTTGTGGAAGAGCCAGAATCTCATAGTAGCCTCGGTTTACCCCTTGGCTCCCCCACCTTATGATGGGCAGAGACGTGTCCTGTTCGCAGAGAACTTGTCCAAATACCAGGGGAATGTCATTACTACCTATAAGGTTGTTTTAAAGTCTGAATTGATCCTGGAGGTAGGGCAGTGGCAGGGGATTGCGTGTTGGGTAAGGCAGGCGCTGACCCACTCCTCTGCCTTCCAGACCTGTCCAGAGGTGGATGAAGAAGGCTTCACCGTGCGGCCAGATGTGACCCAGAACAATATCCTTTACCACCACCTAGTGGTGACTGCTAGCACTGCAAAGATAAAGCTCTGCACGATCCTTTAAAAAATCCTGAGCTCTTACCGTTATGACTCATGGCGACCCTATCTACAGAGTAGAACTGCTTCTTAAGGTTTCCAAACATGTAAATCTTTACGGAAGCCGACTACCTCTCCCATGCAGTGACTGGGTAGATTCAAACAGCTGACATTTTTGGTCCAACACTTAAACTACTGCACCCTTAGCCTACCATGAGCAACTGTGTGAACCCTGGAATGGTCCCTATGGGGCCATCCACGTGGAGGAGGCAGATCCAGATGCAGATTCCTTCCCTATGGGGTTAATTTTTAACAAGAGGGAGCCAACGAAGCTCTGTTATACCAGAAGATACCAGGAGGGGGCACCAGAGTTGGGGTTTTAACAGCTGATTACGAGTTCACCAGTTAAAGGCAGGCATACCTCATTCTCTGGGAACTCTGGTGGTCTAGTGGTAACAAACTGCGCTGCAATCCCAAAGGCACTTGGTTTGAATACACCAGCTGCTCTGCAGGAGAAGGATTGTCCATCCAGGCAATGGCACACAACAATAATATGTCATGTGCAAAGCAAAGACTTGGATAGGTGCTTCTTTAAAGCATGGTGTCAGGTTTGAGGGTGGTTGGAGAATGAATCCTGGGAGGGAGCACCCTTGGACCTAAGGGCTGATAGAAGGTGGGTGTTGGGATCCTCTTGGCCCCTTGACTACAGTGCACGTACAGCGGAGCCCTCGCGTTTCTCGTCTAGTGACTCTGACTTTGACGATGAGGAGCCCCGGAAGTTCTATGTGCACATCAAGCCCGCCCCACCCCGGGCACCAGCCTGCAGCCCGGAGGCAGCCGCAGCCCAGCTCAGGGCCACTGCAGGCAGCCTCATCCTCCCTCCTGGTCCAGGGGTGAGGCCTGAGAGGGTCACTCTGGGTGGGGGTGGGGGATTGGCTGGACACATCTGTGCCTGATGCCACCTCCTTTGTCCATAGGGCACTATGAAACGTCACTCTTCACGTGAGTAACTTGTTAAAGACCATCTTTTTTGGGGAGGGAAAAGAGCCTGGAGTGTGGGTGTTCAAATCCCAGCTCGCTCTTGTGATTTGGAGCATGCCACTTTACTACTACTCTGACCCTCGGTCTCTTTTTCTGTGAAATTAGATTATTGTGAGAATTAAGTAAGACGTGAACTATCAAGGACAGCCAGGGCTAGGGAACCCCTGATATTTGGAACAGGGAGCATGAGAGATGGGGTGATGGAAAGTTTCAGCAGGGCACCTCTGTTGTAGGGGACACCACTGGGAAACCGCAGAGGCCCCGATCTGCCCCGAGGACCAGCAGGTGAGTTCCAAGGAAAAGGGACACATGGTTAATACAGTGAGTAGGTGAGGCCAGCCTACCCCCTCCTGCCTGTCTCTCATTGCCTCCCACTCTGCTTGTGCTTCTTATGTGATGAGCATGTATTGGGCACCTACTGTGTGCTCATCTCTTCTAGACTTTAGGAGTATTAGAGTGGCCAAAACAGATGTTAGGGTGACTGATACAGACACCTTTTCCCAGAGTCACATTCTAGTGGTTCAGATTTTAAAACTCACAAACGAATTTGAGGATATTTAATACTACTAAGCAGGTAGTGGGGTAGAGGATAAGGGACGATTTTCGCTGGGGTAGGGGTGGGGACACTGCACAGTTTGAGCTGAAGAGAAGCAGGGTGTGGCCACAAGGAAAGCCAGGAACAGAGCTCCAGAGAGGGGTCAGCATGTGCAAAGGCCCTGAGGTGCCACCCTATCTCCCAGCTGTGCAGAAAAGCCGCAATCAGAGGAGCAGTTTTCCAAGAGCCTCTTTGGGCCGCCCCTTGAGTCAGCCTTTGACCACGAAGATTTTACAGGTGACGGGGCTTCTGAGGCATGGGCGTGGCTAGCTGGAGGGTGGGCGGGGCTTCAGGGAAGGTGGGCTCCTTTGTGGCCAATGGGAAGATAGGCCGGACCACACTGCCCTGTGGGGGGGGAGGCAGATTCTGACCGGTCCTCCCCTCCCACCCAGGGTCCAGCAGCCTCGGCTTCACCTCCAGCCCTTCCCCTTTCTCATCCTCATCACCTGAAAATGTGGAGGACTCAGGCCTCGACTCCCCTTCCCACGTGGCACTCGGCCCCTCCCCGGACTCCTGGGTGACCCGGCCAGGCACCCCGCAGAGCCCGCCGAGCAGGAGGGCGCTGCCCCCCGAGTGTAGGGGGGCACGGGCCCCTCTGCGATCTGACTCACCGCAGCCCCTCTCAGCGTCCCTGGGCCCCTGGGGGCTGGAGGCCGTGGGCGGAGGAGGTGAGTCCAACGGCCACGGGTAGGGTCTGAGCCCAATTGGGGAGGCAGTATGAGCACCTGTTGGGTATTGAGGACACCATGGAGCCGAAACGGGCAGAACGCACACGTTTCCAAAGGACAACAATAACGTCCTTACCTGACAGTCAGGAAGCAGCAGGTTCAGGGTGAGGGCTGGGGGGACTTCCCAGAGGAGGTGGCATGTGACATCTGGGCTGAGATTTGAAGGAGGTGAGAGAGAAGCTGTAAAGATAGAGGGGACTGTGTCCTATGGGACGGGGAAGCCATGCACAGGCTTGGACTGGGAGCCTGCTGGGCTGGATTTGAGGAGCAGCCCTGAGGCCTAAGTAGCTGGCAGGAGTAGGGCAAAGAGGGATGGAGAGAAAGAGGTAGGAGAGAGGCCGGGGACCAGGGAGGAAGAAGCTGGGTGGGGGACAGCTCAAATCCCGGACAACTGGAGATCCCCTTGGACAGGGCAAAGGTCATCCTCTGGTATCAGGTTGCAGGAAGATGTCATCTAAAGCGGAAGGAGGAGAAACAGGGTCAAGGTCGTGGAGGAGTGGCCAGGGAGGGGGCAGGGGGAGGTCCTGAGCTGTTGCCTGCGTCAAAGCTGGTGATAAGGACCCTTGACAACATGGGGGGCCGGGGAAGGCACGTGGATGCAGTGGGCTCTGAGGGCTGAGGGGTGAGTATAAACTAGACTAGGTGGCCAAGTCGGATGTCAAAGAGTTAACTGAATTTCTGCAAAGCGATGGTTCTCGACAGGGCCGATTCAGATCCCAGGGGACACTTGGCAAATGTCTGGAGACATTTTTTTTTTTTTTGCGTGTGTAAAGTCAAATCAGATCTGACTGGTACAGGAGGAGATTGTCCCTCCTTCTCCAGCAGACCCTCTGGTGGATTCGAACCACGTGCATCTCTGGGATTGCAGTGCATCTTCTTGCCACTAGGCCACCAGAGCTCTAACATTTTTTATTGCCTGACTTGAGGGAGGGCGTGATGCTACTGGCATGAAGTGGTGGGAGGCTTGGCAGCCCCTTCCTCAAACACCAGCAGTGCTGGAAGTGAGAAACGGGTAAAGGGGGACATAGACAAGAGTGGGAGGAGGTGAGCTTGTGTGGATGGAGCAGAGCAGGGGGCACTAGGGAGGCAGGAGACCCGGGAAGGCTAGGCGTCACATCATAGCACCCAGCACCCCAGAAGGTACCCAGGGGAGTACTCAGGCAGGCCAGCACACTCACTCTCAGAATAAAGCTCGTGGCATCACTGAATGTTGGATCAGAATTCCCAGCATTCCCCTGTGCGTACCTGCTTCCTCGGCATTCAGCGTTTGCTTGCATATCTTCAGTCACAGGGTGCTCATCTCCTCTTGTCCATCTGTCTGGTGTCTGGGAGGCTCAAGGCTGTGGAAGACATTTGCAATCCTTTCTGGCACCTTCTCCACAGACCCTCAGGGGATGTCCCCCAAATATCCCCAGCTCCCAGCCTTCCGCTGAGCCCCTAGCCTTGGGAGGCATGAAGGTCGGGCCAGTGTCTCACTGATGCCTGCTTCCACACCCACTCTCCAGACCTGACATCATCCTCTGCTGACCTCACAGCCCGAGAGGGCCTGGCAGCCCCACCCCGAAGACCCCGCTCCAGGAAGGTGTCCTGTTCCCTCACCCGTAGCAATGGAGACCTGGTAGGGTGAGGGGCAAGGTGGGAGCTGGGCTAGGGGCAGCTCGGGGTGCTGCTCCTGGGGTTTCAGAGCTCAGCCAACTTCTTTCCCTTCCAGTCTCGCTCACTGAGTCCCTCTCCACTGGGCACTGCCCCTGAAAGGCCCAGCTTCTCAACCCAGACAGGACACGGTATGTGAAGATAGCCCAGGGCCTTGGCTTCCGCTTCCTTGATTTGAGTGGGTGGGAATGATATGATACAGGTGATGTTGGCAAAGTGAGATATATGCTCACTCCCTCTGTGTCCCCCCATTCTGTTCCCCCATCCCAGGAGTCTCCCGAGGCCCAAGCCCTGTGGTCCTGGGCTCCCAAGATGCCCTGCCCGTGGCCACAGCTTTCACAGAGTATGTCCACGCCTACTTTCGTGGCCACAACCCTAGGTATGCAGTGACTAGGCTAATGATTGGGAAAAACTTGGATGCATTGCTATCAACCGGGTTTCCTGGAGGCCCTGTGTCCAGGTTCTGACAGGGACTGTTGTCAGATATGCTTAGGGTGGAAGGACACTGAATGCCAAGCCAGACCCCAGGCCCCTGTCCCATGGGTGATGAGAGCCATGGATGATAGTTGAGTGGAGCGAGGCATGGCTGTAGCCAAAGTTTAGACTTTTTGAATGCTGCCGGTGGGCATTGAGCTGACGAGAAGCAAGAAAGAAGTCCGGAATGCAATCCCAGAGGTGCGTGGTTCGAATCCACCAGATGCTTTGCTGAAGAAGGAGGGACAATCTCTTCCTGTACCAGTTAGATCCAATTTGAAAGTACACACAAGAAAAATTAAAGAAAAAAGAAAGAAAGAAGGCCAGGTCCAGGGAGGAGGTGAGGTAGGGGTACACAGAGGAGCTGGGGATAATTGGAGACCGAGTTTGGGAGCTTTTAAAGCCAGAAAGAGGAGGAGAGCATTAGACCTGTAACCCAAACTGCAGGCATTTGCGAGACAGAACATTTAACTTTGAGCTTCCTAGTGCCCTAGGGGAAAAGGAAACTAGGAAAGGGGCTATACCTGCTTCTTTTAGCCCAGTGTAGACGCTACCTAGTGCATCTAGTTAGTATATAGCAGGGGCGGTTGAGAGAAAGGGTGCTGGGTACAGTCAGGCCTTGCTGCCTTTGAGAAGCCTGGGCAGCCTTGTGATAGCCAACACTCATTGTCCTCCTTCCCAGCTGCTTGGCGCGAGTAACTGGGGAGCTGACCATGACCTTCCCAGCTGGCATCGTGCGTGTATTCAGCGGGACCCCGCCCCCACCTGTCCTTAGTTTCCGCCTTGTGCACACGGCCCCCATTGAGCACTTCCAGCCCAACTCGGATCTGCTCTTCAGGTATTGTGGAGGCCCCAGAGGATTGTGGGGGCGGGAACTCCCCAGGCCTGAGTTCTTGCTCTGTCCTTAGGGATTTGCTCTGTGGCCCTGGGAAAGTGGCTCACCCTCTCTGAGCCTCACTTTCTCTCTGCTCTTCAACCTTTGCCCCCATGACGTCATGCTTGGCCGAGTCAGGGAATCTGCATCTTTAGGAAGCCGATGGGATGCTAGAGGTACCTCTGAAGGGTGGTAATCCTCACTCCTGGTCTTTGCAGTGACCCCTCCCAGAGCGACCCTGAGGCCAAAGACTTCTGGCTCAACATGGCAGCTCTGACAGAGGCCCTGCAGCGCCAGGCAGAGCAGAACCCGGCTGCCTCCTACTATAACATGGTGCTGCTGCGTTACCAGGTGGGCGGTGGGGCAGGGGGCACGGAAGCAGGCGGTGCAGGCAGGGTGGACTTGGAATGAATGCAGGACTGTGGGCAGAGTCAGAGGGCGGAGCTCTGCAGGTACTGACAGCAGCAACTGTGCAAAGTGAAAGCTGACTTCGGACGAAGCACGCGCCTGCCCTCTGCTGGAGGAATGTTGTACTACAGGCTGATTTCTAGTCTTCCCCAGGAACCTCTGCTACTAACCTTAAGAGATTGGCGGTTCAAACACACCTCGACATGCTTTGAAGGGAAAGCTGGCAATCTGCTTCCATTAACATTACATCCAAGAAAACCCTAAGGAGCAGCACAGGGAGTTTCCTTCAGTTGGAATGGACTCAAAGGCGATGGGTGTTTGCAGAGCAGGAGGGCGTGCGTGCGTGCGTGCGTGGGTGTGTGGTGTAAGGTGTAGGGTGCAGGTGAAGGAATGGCCAGCGCTCAGCCAGTTAAACGGTGTGCATGGGGCAGAACAGGCTGGCCCATACCATGGCTTCTCTCTCATTCTCCCTCCACCTAGTTCTCCCGCCCTGGTGCCCAGTCGGTGCCCCTGCAGCTGAGTGCCCACTGGCAGTGCAGTGCAGCCCTCACCCAAGTCTCAGTGGAGTACAGCTACCGGCCTGGCGCCACACCTGTGCCCACATCACTCACTAACGTCCAGATACTGCTGCCTGTGGGAGAGCCTGTGACCAACGTCCGCCTCCAGCCTGCTGCCACCTGGTAAGGGCGTGCGGGAGGCTTGGCAGATGCTCCAGAACCCTCCAGGTCTCCCCTCGATGCAGCCACTAAGGGGTCCACCTCAGGCCCAAATACCATGTGCTCTCTCTTCCCGAAGCTTTTGTTGATAATAATATCTAACACCTGCTATTTGGTGTAGGTCCCTTAGCAGGGGCTTGGGCCACCATCATCCCCATTCAAGAGAGGGACACTGAGGCACAGGTTGAGATAATCCCTTGTCCACGATCTCATTAGGATTTGAACCCAACGCCTTGGTCTCATCCACACAATGCTGCCTCCATTTTGCACAAACGTAGAACCTGCCACAATGAAGTCATTTGTATGTTGTTATTGTTGTTCTGTGCTGTCGAGTCACTTGCAAGTCATAGCGACCCTATGTACAACAGCCCTAAACTCTGCTCTGTCCTGTGCCAATCGCACTGTCTCCAACACACCCATTCCTATTATTCCTATTACCCCATCACTGAATCAATCCATCTCATCGAGGGCCTTCCCCTCCTGCGCTGTCCTTCCACCCTTCCAAGGACAGGTCCCTCCTTACAACATGTCCAAAGTATGTCAGACGAAGCCTCAGAATCCTTGCCTCCAAGGAACTGCCCAGTTTAACCCTCTCCAGGGTGAACCTGTTTGTTTTCTTGGAAGTCCATGGTACATTCAGTACTCTTCTCCAGCACCACAGCTCAAAGGCATCAATTCTCCTTCTATCCTCCCTAGTCATTGTCCAACTCTCTGGCACATAACAAGTGATTGCAAAGATCATGGCCTGTATCAGACACACCTTAATCTCCAGAGAGACACTGTTGCTCTTTAGTACTTTAGAGAGGTCTCTAACAGCAGACTTTCCTATCGCAATGCATCTTTTAATTTCCTGGCTGCTGGTGCCAAGAGTGATGATTGTGGAGCCAAGCAAACTAAAGCTATTAACAATCTCAATCTCTTCACCATCACCCTGATGCTGGCCAGTTGGTCCAGGGGCGAGAATCTTTGTCTTCTTGATACTGAGCCTCAATCCATATTGAAGGCTGCAGTCCTTGACCCTCTGCAGCAAGCGCTTCAGGTCCTCCTCAGTTTCAGAAAGCAGGGTTGTGTCATAGGTCCTAAATAAAAGAATCATCCCCAAATCCTGCTCAGCTCAGACCCACAGGGAAAGCTGTTCTCTATCCCACCCACATTTCAACGAGGTGGAGGGGAGGGAGCTGGCTTTCTGAGGTCCTGTAGCGGGGAGGTAGCTGAGCCGGGCTGCAGCTCTCTGGTTCCCATCATCCTCTCTGAGGAAGACCTAACTCTGCTCCTCTTGTTGACAGGAACCTGGAGGAGAAGCGGCTCCTGTGGAGGCTTCCAGACGTGTCAGAGGCCGGGGGTAAGTTCTGGTTCTGGGCGAGACCTCCAGGGTCTTGGGTGAGAGGGGCTTGTTAAAACTGAGGGAGAACCAAGGACGTAGAAGTGTGGACATCAAGGAAAGCTTGGGAGGGTTTGGGCAAAGCTGGAAAGGAGAGCAGAGGTCCTCTGGCAGGACTGGTCTGCAAACCGCCAACAGTGAGGCCGAGAAGCGTGTAGGGGCACAGAGGCCACAGGAGGTGGCTGACCCTCCTGCCTCCCCAGGCTCCGGCCGCCTGTCTGCCAGCTGGGAGCCACGCTCAGGACCCAGCACCCCCAGCCCCGTGGCCGCGCAGTTCACCAGTGAGGGGACCACCCTGTCAGGCGTGGACCTGGAGCTCGTGGGCAGCGGCTACCGCATGTCACTAGTGAAGAGGAGGTTTGCCACAGGTATGCCACCCCGGAGGCCAGGGCCGCCCCACTCCAGCTTCAGTGACTTTTGTCTGAAGGAAGCAGGGATGTCTCTCTGCAGGTTTATTTGGAAAGGCTACACAGTGTTGGAGGGGTGGAGGGAGGTGAGTCCTAAAATGGGAGGGGTCAAGAAGGACATCAAGCTTGGAAAGGTAGGGGGTCAGTGAAAGAGAGGAAGACCCATAGCCTGCTGGATTGACAGCCCCAAAGAGAACCTGTCACAGGGGACTGCAGCACGGGGCTGTGTCAGGAAGGGTGAGGACGGCACAGGACAGAACACATTCAGATCTGTTGTTTATGACGCTGCTATGGGTCATAGTCAACTCAGTGGCACCTAACAACAGCGACAAGAAGAAGGAAGACCCCAAAGCTCCATTGATGACCCTAATGGGTTCTTGCCCTCACCAGGGACTATTGGAAGAGTGGGAATAGTATGTTACTGGATGTTTGGAAAAGGAGACATTAGAGGTGAAGGCTAGGAGTCCAGGAATAGCCTCAAAATTCCTGACCACTACCCGTCTCCCCCCAGGAATGTACCTGGTGAGCTGCTGAGCTCCGCCGTGTGTCCTGGTGCTCACCGACCACTCACACTCTCCGTAGACCCTGGGGATCCCCCCAGCCTCCTTGAGGCCTGCACCCCATGGAGAGGAGCCCCATGCCTCACCTGGAGCAGCCTCAGACACTCCTCTTCATGCAACCCCATGCAGGCCCCAGTCTTTTAATGTTCTTTGAATAAACACTTTATTTTCTAATAAAAGCAAAACAAACCTCCTGCTTCAGGAAGTTTCTCCTTCACGGCGTGAGAGAGAGATGAAGAGGAGATGGGTGGCTGGGGGAGGTCTAATGCTCCCTTGTCTTTGCCGTGACCAGTCAGTTCAGGGTGATGCTAGGAGAGAATCAAAACCTCAAAGGATATGCCCAACCCCACAGGAATAGAGCTGTACTATGGGAAGGATAGGAACTAAAAGCACAGAGAGGGGAATCAGGAGAACTTCCTACGGAAAGGGCATTTTACATGGGGTTTTGAGAGATGAGTAGGTGTTTACCAAGTAGAAGGGTATCCCAGGTAGAGAGATGGCAAGTGTCAGCTTCCACAATGTCCATCTGGAGCAGAGCGAAGTTCTTGGAGGCTGTGGAGCTATGCAGCCGGGTTTGGAGCCTGCTTGACCATGCCTGGTTCTGAGGCCCACCTCACTGGGTGACTGAAGAAGACTGGGAGCTTGAAAGAGTGCCTGGTACCAGAATATGAGGCATTCTGGTGGGTACTTTTTTCTGTAGGGAGCCTAGGCAGAGGGTTGGCCCTGGACACGTGATCAGCCTCAGGGGTGAGTGGGCTGGTCTGGGTTCGGCAGACAGGCCTGGATCCTGCTGACATTTGAAGACCCTGGACACCCAGCCTGAGGCTGTACAGGCCCAGCGACAGAGCCTGTGGTTCAGTTTCCTTGTCTATAAAATGGAAGAAACGGCCATGGCTTCTCATTTTTTGAGAGATCTGAGGAGGGCTTCCCGGCTGAGAGCCAGTGCACAGCATCCCTGGGGTGTGTGACTATCTCAGTTTCTACCTTGACTGAGAGTCATCTCCCACAGCCCAGATTCTATACACCGTCTCGAGCGGAAAGTCACACTACAACCACAAAATAATGAAAAAAACCCAAACACCGGAAATAAAGAATAAAGCACTTGATTACTCATGGTTTCCAGGGGTAAATAGCACGGCATGGTTGTAAGCCACAGCACATGTGGGGCGGTGGGGGGGCGGGGGTGGAGGTGGAGACAGTGGACCAGAGTCACAACCACCAGGTAAGTAACCAAGATGATGAAATATTTGACAATACAATCAAGCTCTTCCAACAGCGTCCTGCTGCTCCTCCCTTCTCTGAATTGTTTTCTTGCTGAGATGCCTATATTATTGTTTGCCGTCCGCCCAGGACAAAGTAGAACTGCCCCACTGGGGTTCCGAGGCTGTAAGTCTTCATGGGGTGCAAAGGAGCTCGGCAGGCTCCAACCACTGACCTTTCTGTTAACAGTCCGACACTTTACCTACCCTGCCATCTGGGCTCCTTGCACTTACTGCAACTGCCATCAAACGGGTATTTCCCTGCCTGCAGCAAGCCCCACCCCCTCCCAGCCTCTTTTTTTGCCAGACGTGTAATCTCTCCGCCAACAAGCAGTGCTATATCAACAGTCTCCTCCAGAGGATGCCACTGCAAGCACACACCTTCACCCCCTTATCTGCTGCGCCACGCTCCGCAGCAGTTGGCTGCGCCAGATAACCACGCTGCTGAAACCAAGAGGTTCTCCACACCTCAGCTCCCCGCAGCCGTTACACACGCCACCCTCCCTTTCCTGCTCTTTCGCTTCAAAGGAACTGGCGTTAGCAGCCAGCCATCAAGTCGAGGGTGACTCAGTGACCCTATGAACACGGATCTGAACCGTGTCTCCCAGGAGCGCTCTGGCTGCGCTTGTCCCAAGATGTTTATGTTTGCTTTTTTGGCCTGTCCGTGGGATAATTGATGCTCTTCTCCAACACTGCAGCTCAAAGGCAGCAATTCATTCTTCTGTCATCCTTATTCATTGTCTAGCTCTCAGATACATAAAAATTGATTGGAAAAAAGCAGGAGTAGCCATATTACTCTCTGATAAAATAAATATCAATGTAAAAACCATCACGGAAGATAAGGAAGGTCACTACATAATGCTGAAAGGGTCAATAGAACAAGAGGACATAACA